ACTTTTTAGTGTTTTTTTTGCAAACCTAGAGCCCGAGCAAGGTGCTTTCTCGTTGCCTAGCGCGCTCTAAAACAGGCTGTCCGAGCCGTTACGATAGCGCGTTTTGACACACACGAACATGAACGCCAGCTGGCAACGCGAGAGTCGCCAGTAGTTTCAGGCCAAATTGATTATTTTTCCACTGATGCCGCACTGCACGCCACTAACTGCTGTTACAGCTGTGCATATAGGAGTCCCACAGTTACAACTGTTGGCCCATGTGGGAGTAAGCTTCACTTTTATAAACTTAGTCGGTAGTATAATCAAAATGAATTACCATTCCGATCTTCTACGAACGTTCAAGTTAGTCGAGAGAGTTGGAGGAGGAAGAGGTAGAGGAAAGAAAGGCATGAATGTCAACCAGGCGAGCGCCCGGTTTGCTACACTATATTGGGAGAAGGAAGGAGCTCAAGGTTTTCAAAGGAAATAGCTTTTCTTGGTATACTTCAACGCAAAAATTTTGGTCTGTCTGTCTGCCTGTCGACTTGTCTGTGCGTCACCCGAAACGGCTAAAGTTAAATCACATCCGCTGTGCCAACCAGTATTGCTCTGGTTTCTGCGTTCATACTTGTGCGTATTGTCATTTGAAATCAATTATTGCGCATATCTGAGACACATCAACACACCATATCTGTGGTGTGTTTCTTTATACTACAAAGGCATACATAAGCGTTTGTAAGTACCGCTGTGTTTATTACGCCACGCTGACAATACAACGCTATGCACAAAAAAGGCCAATTTTATTAGCAAGAGTGAGCTAGTGGTGCCCATTATGCAACTTTTTTTAACGCGCGCAAAACTCAGAACAAAAAAAGAGAGTTGGTGCCTCCGAATACAGCTTTGTTACATGTGAAACCAGAGTGTTGTGCATTTTAGTCCAATATATACAAAGCTATTCAGGATAAAGTTTATCGTACGCAAAATACGTGGATATGGAGTTAAACTTTATACACCAAAGGCTGAAAGATAAAAGGACAGATTCTTTCACTGCTAGCTTTGGATGTAATCGACCGTTAAATATGCGTACCTGATAAATGTGACATTTCTAACGTAGCTTCCAGTTATCGTGCTATCAGACGCATTAGAACGCACAGATGTTATATGATTGCATGGGAGATGTTCGAGTCGGCTACTCACTTTCACAAAAAGAAGCATTCGTGCAAATAACGTGACTAATTGCATCTTATAACAGCTGCTGTATTCCCAGAAGTTTGTGTGCCTCACAGCATCGTCACCTATCCCCACCATGCCAAATGGTCGCAATTCAACACTGAGCTAAGCAGAAAGAAAGATAGGTAATATGTGCATACTTCTTTCTTATACTTTACAACTGTGTACCGATACCGGATACTGTTTCCTGCCACGCCTGATGCTATGGATACCGCAGGTAAAACAGGGCTTCTATCAGCCACAACAGGGCGCGCACACAACGAAAAAGAAAAAAAAAGTTTTTAGCGAGAGGAACTTGAACCAGATGTTGCTGCGGCCACCCACAATGGCGATATCGACAAACGAATTCATTATCAACGCGTTCATCAGGCACAGGGGGTCCACTACGGTTAAAATCAACAGCGCTTCGACTTCTATCACTATTATTAGGTGTACGACTAAATATTAGCACATCAATGAACGTTTTGCATTTATGACCTTCCCGAGTTCATGGCGAATTTGAAACTCGGTAAGCCAGCCCTACAACGTGAGTTATACCGTGCCTCGCCATAGAAATGCTCTCAGTCATTAGCAAGCGCATTGCTGAAGCACCAGAGCACCCAGTAGAAATTAAAGAAATAAATAAAGTAGAATTTCAACTAAAGGAAAACGACAATAACCCTTTCGTCTTTTCATGTCACGTTTTCGGGCACTCTCTATAGCAGCTGGGTTTACGTCTCTACGAAAGCGTCGTTTTTCGACGCTCCTATAAGATTTTGTGAACGTTTTTTTTTGTTGCCCTTAAACGAAATGGGCATGCGCGAAACGTTTACGTAAAGACATAAAAAAGCAACCGAGTAGGGATATCAAGACGTGCTTAAAATCTTTATTCTCGTTGGGGATGCGCGCTAAGGCTTATCTCGATTCCTACGACGCTCAGCTTGCGAACGGCAAAGCCAGGGGATTTGGGTGCCGACTCTCTCGGGAACGACTCAGCTGCCAGGCTTCGCTCGTCCGTTCGCAATTTATTTTGTCGGAGTTGTAAAGTGCGGCAAACAAAAACAAATTGTAAAATTAAACACAAACTTATCTCGCTCAAGAAGACAACCCATCAGCTTCAAACGCCGCGTCTTCTGCACACACTGCGAAATCGTTTCAGCGATTCAGATTACCCTTTTCTCCTTGCGTTATCTGTACTCGAATTTTCGCGTGAAGAGCTCAGAAGATGGGATAAATGCGAGAAAATACATTTTCAACGATTGAAAAAGCAATACCTACTCAACGATTAGCCACTGGCTAAACTTGTATGCTTTTAATTTCCTTCCTTTCTCTGTTCAAGTCGCTTATCGACGTTGAGCTTGCACAAAACATACCTTTTCACCTTGTTTTGAACCATTTAATTGCTCTTCCCAATGCTTGCTTCTTTTTAGGAAGAGATAAAGCGAATTTACACGAAAGAGGATGAAGTGGGAATCAGTGTCGTCAATGGTCGAAAAATGCACAAAAACACTTCTGTCCTTATATTGTTTTTCTTTTGCTATTACGTGTTATACACTCAGGGGCCATGCGTACAGAAAAAAATGCATGTACGTTATCCATGGCTGAAATTATCTCCTCGCATGCCTAAGTACATCACTGAACAGTCACGATAAGTCAGGGAGTAGTTGATCCCTCCTCGCATTTTTTTTCGTCTTGACCAGACAGGGGTTCATCTAATGGTGGTAACAATAGCGATTTCTCTGTATCTTAACTAGATCGACACTTCTCTTGCTGCTCTTTTGACGAATACAAGTCCACTCGTTACGATGGCTGTAGTGATATTCACAATTCAACGAACGTTTTAATTTCTTTATTGCATGTTTTAGCCGGTTCGCTGTCTTCTCTCACAAGCTGTTAATCTCTAATGTGGCTTCTAATTTCCATCTTCTTTTCTGTACGCTCGCTTGGCGTTTAATATACTGGGTTCGCCCACAGTTCACGAGTAGTAGTTTAGCACCAGAACCGAAAACGCTGCAAGAATAGAGCGGGGAGCTGGTGCCGTACTCACAGCTGACTTCAAGGATGATCCGCTTGCTGACCGAGGGCAGCACACCGTTGGATGCGATGCACAGGTAGGCACTCATGTGCAGGCGGGAAACCTTGGTGATATTCAGCCAGGTGCCTTTCACCGATGAAACTGCAATCATGAACAGGCCAACGGTGAGTTAAAACCTTCATCGTTCAAATTGCGTTCAAGTTATGGCGTCATAATTGGTTGGCCCCTCGATAGCTGATGAACATGCCCACGAGATCAACTAACTGAAGGACAACGAGGTATCAGCTTAAATGTCAATCTATTCAAAGGAAGGAGGACGAAAGAGAGGAGATGCAGGAATGTTAACCAGTCTGGCATAACTGATATGCTATCCTGCACAGGGGGAATGGATGAGGGATGCTGAAAAAAGAGTAAATAAATAGAAAAAGAGGAGAAGCGTACACGCACATACATAACGTCACCATGCAGAGCGGGAATCTTGTGCAGTATACGGCATCGTTAAGAGTCTACAGCCACTCGTGCAAGTCTGTTGATCTTAAGAATTTTAACCAAGGAATTTCTCTATCAATTACAATTAAATTTCATCTTTCAATCAATTGTACATCTTGATTTCTCGCGCGCCTAATGTCTGCCTACGTGAGTAAACAAGCTGAATAAGCGAACTTTATTAACTTTAGGGCAAAGCCAGGAGGATTTGGGCGCCGACTCTCTCGAGAACGACTCAGCTGCCAGGGTTCGCTCCTCCATTCGCAATTTATTTTGTCGGCGTCGTAAGGTGCGGCAAATAAAAAAAATATTAAAATTGTAACAGGAACTTATTTCGCTCAACAAGGCAACCCATCAGCTCTGAACACCGTGCCTCCTGCACACACAGTGAAATTGTTTGAGCGATTCAGATTATCCTTTTTCTCTTTGCGTTGTCTGTACTCGAATTTTCACGTAAAGAGCTCAGAAGATGGGATAAATGGGAGAAAATACATTTTCAACGATTGGAAAAGCAATATACCTACTCAACATTAGCCACTGGCTGAACTTGTATGCTTTTAATTTCCTTCCTTTCTCTGTTCAATCGCTTATCGACGTTGAGCTTGCACAAAACATACCTTATTCACCTTGTTTTGAACCAATTAATTGCTCTTCCCAATGCTTGCTTCTTTTTAGGAAGAGATAAAGCGAATTTACACGAAAGAGGATGAAGTGGGAATCAGTGTCGTCAATGGTCGAAAAATGCACAACAACACTTCTGTCCTTATATTGTTTTTCTTTTGCTATTACGTGTTAAGCACTCAGTGGCCATGCGTACAGAAAAAAAATGCATGTACGTTATCCATGGCTGGAATCATCTCCTCGCATGCCTAAGTACACCACTGAAAAGTCACGATAAGTTAGGGAGTAGTTGATCCCTCCTCGCATTTTTTTCGTCTTGACCAGACAGGGGTTCATCTAATGGTGGTAACAACAGCGATTTCTATGTTTCTTAACTAGATCGACACTTCCCTTGCTGCTCTTTTGACGAATACAAGTCCACTCGCAACGATGGCTGTAGTGATATTCACAATTCAACGAACGCTTTAATTTCTTTATTGCATGTTTTTAGCCGTTCGCTGTCTTCTCTCACAAGCTGTTATCTCTAATGTGGCTTCTAATTTCCATCTTCTTTTCTGTACGCTCGCTTGGCGTTTAATATACTGGGTTCGCCCACAGTTCACGAGTAGTAGTTTAGCACCAGAACCGAAAACGCTGCAAGAAGAGAGCGGGAAGCTGGTGCCGTACTCACAGCTGACTTCAAGGATGATCCGCTTGCTGACCGAGGGCAGCACACCGTTGGATGCGATGCACAGGTAGGCACTCATGTGCAGGCGGGAAACCTTGGTGATATTCAGCCAAGTGCCTTTCACCGATGAAACTGCAATCATGAACAGGCCAACGGTGAGTTCAAACCTTCATCGTTCAAATTGCGTTCAAGTTATGGCGTCATAATTGGTTGACCCCTCGATAGCTGATGAACATGCCCACGAGATCAACTAAACTAAAAGGACAACGAGGTATCAGCTTAAATGTCAATCTATTCAAAGGAAGGAGGACGAAAGAGAGGAGATGCAGGAATGTTAATTAGTCTAGCATAACTGATATGCTACCCTGCACAGGGGGAATGGATGAGGGATGCTGAAAAAAGAGTAAATAAATAGAAAAAAAGAGGAGAAGCGTACACGCACATACATAACGTCACCATGCAGAGCGGGAATCTTGTGCAGTATACGGCATCGTTAAGAGTCTACAGGCACTCGTGCAAGTCTGTTGGTCTTAAGAATTTTAACCAAGGAGTTTCTATATCTATTACATTTAAATTTCATCTTTTAATTAATTGTACATGTTGATTTCTCGCGCGCCTAATGTCTGCCTACGTGAGTAAACAAGCTGAATAAGCGAACTTTATTAACTTTAGGGCAAAGCCAGGAGGATTTGGGCGCCGACTCTCTCGAGAACGACTCAGCTGCCAGGGTTCGCTCCTCCATTCGCAATTTATTTTGTCGGCGTCGTAAGGTGCGGCAAATAAAAAAAATATTAAAATTGTAACAGGAACTTATTTCGCTCAGCAAGGCAACCCATCAGCTCTGAACACCGTGCCTCCTGCACACACAGTGAAATTGTTTGAGCGATTCAGATTATTCTTTTTCTCTCTGTGTTGTCTATATTCGAATTTTTGCGTGAATAGCAAAGAAGATGAGATAAATGTGGGGAAATATATTTTCAACAAATTTTCAACATATCTTCACTGTCGATACATGCCACATCTTTTTTTTTAATTTAATGTATGTAAGGAGAGGTTGGTGCCAATGCGTGGCGCCGGCTACTCCTCATGCCACATCTTTCATATCAGCGCGTCTCGACCATCGTCAGAAGGTTCCGGTGCCCAAGCGTAACACAATTTCCCATTCATTGTCATTTTTGCCGATGACTTCTAGGGAATGAAATCAGCTTTCTGGCTCTATGAAAAGCATTTCCAAACATTTTAAAAATTACTTCTTAACTAATTAAATACCTACATTTAGCCTTTTGTGAAATTTTCTGTTTTGTTTACTGCGAAGCACTTTGTATATTTACTGTCTGTATTATTGTACTTACGTTCTTTTTAGGGTATATGCTGTGTAATATTTGTCAAGTTCAATATATTTGCACTATTATATATGCATATATGATGGTCCCTCTCCTCTGTAATGTACCTTGTACCTTGAGGGGAAAATATAGTAAATAAATAAATAAATAAATAAATAAATAAATAAATAAATAAATAAATAAATAAATAAATAAATAAATAAATAAATAAATAAACAGTCAGATTCTAATGTTTTCTTTCGCTATGTTTCAAGAATGCTACGGTGACTCATTGGTATGCCTTTACTCATATACTGAACAAAAACCACTCAACCATGGTTCATGGTATGCATCGGACTGCAATCATATCATCTGAGAACTCAGACTTAGAATACTTACTGCAATAGATTTAAAGTGACAGGACAGAACCTTCACGCTCATTTCATTTTCATTTTAACAAGGATGAAAGAAAAAGCTAAAAAGACAAAAGAAGGCCTCCTTCATCTCCACCCCCGCCCTCTCTTCCAACTGCTAAAGCTGCCATGCTTCTCAATATAGATAAAGCATAATTTCCTAAAGGTTCCCAGTTATTCAATAAGCGAGCACCATCATTACAGTAAGCGAAAAAGAAGTTTTTCGAGTGTGCTTCTGAAACGGAACCAGGCTGGGCTGGAACTTAATTACAAAACCTTATAACGTTTCTTAGTGAGCAGCAAGGCGGACGAAATAATGCTCAATAGACCACGAACAAAAATTCAAAACGAAGCTTCTGTCAAAGTAAGAAACCTGCGGCTTCTGTTCACATTATATTTGACTCGCTTCATGCCATTCAGACAAGACACGACTTTCCTCCACGAGCAGAAATTCATTTATGGCTACTCCTTGGAGAGCGCGTTGCAGACCACGTTGGTGTTAACCAAGTTACGCTTCCATTAAACACTGAACCCGACCCAGCTTGCTTTTGCTTCAGTGCAGTGATTGAACAACCGCTCGCCACACGTCTGCGTCACAAGTCTTTATTTTTTTTATTCCTAATAATCCCTGCAAAATTCCTTGGATTAGTAACCGCAAAAGAAAACGCAAAAATAAATTACGCCATGCATTACATGCTTTCATCTGCACCGGTATTCAACGCTCATTCTTTCTTCCTTTGCGGTGTTCGTAATTGCGGCATTAAGACGTGCCCTGCTTTTCTTTCGTAGAACGGCCGGGGGATATCTTTGTGCACGTCTCCAGAGCTGCAAGAGTGACGCCGTAGAAGTTGTCGGCAAACGAAGGCTGCCAAGTTGTGGCGCAAAACAAAGAAGAAAAAAAGTAAGGAACGATTCAAATAAAAATGCTCGCTGCTCTCTCATAATCGCGCAGACCTTTTGTTTCAAACCCGGTGTAGGGAAGATATCGAGAAGAGGGAGTGAAGTCGAAGGGGAACAATAGCGGGGATCACGAAAGGCCGGGTGCGTGGGTCGGTCGGGGTTACTGCGGAGCGCGAGAAATTGATAGGGCGAAACGCAAAACTTTTATTCCATTAAAGCCTACCTAATTGAATCTTCCTCTTGTTTCACTTTCGAGTACAGCGCGAGCGGCGCCCTCTTCTAGCAATGCGCGTTAACTTTTCCCGCTCCCATGACTGCCACGGGGAGAAGCCCGCTGTTTAGGCGCTTGACAAAAGACAGGTCACAAGCGAGGGACTACGGCAATGCCCTAACTCTGCGCATGTTCACGTCCCCTTTCCTTTCCCTCTCTCTCTCTCTCTTCGCCGTTTTTTAAATGTTTATTTTATTAACTCTGAGCTCTTCCGAGTTTCTTTTCCTAGCATCATTTCTCTTGGCTTGCCTTCCGATTGCTTGTTGGCTCGTTGTCGTGCGCTGCCAGGCACGTGAACCGAGGGAGCGCCTCAGCGGTAACCGAATCTGGGACTCACGCTCGTGAGAGCCACCGTGTTCCGAGCCGCACGCCCTACGTCGGGAAGATAACCCGGGGACGCCCAAGTCAAGCACCGCACCACGCCGTGATTGACTCGAGCATCTAGGGTTTCTGGGGTCTCGTTATGCAGGCTACGGAACGCTTTTCGTTTATCTCGTCGTAAGGCTTCGTGTCATTGAACTTTGGTAAGAACCTTAAATGTGCGTCCCGCCAAATTTTTTTTTTTATTTGAATATACTGCAGGCCCTTCACGGCCCAAGCAGGAGTGGGTACACAGATACATCGAAATACATACATTGCCAGAGAAAAAAAAAGAAAAAAAAATGAACAAACAAAAAAAGAAAAAAAAAGAAATCATGGTGCAAATTCAATACACTGTATGCGGTTGATGAAAGAGTCAATCGTACTACAACAAACAATGTCGTTGGGTAGGCTGTTCCAGAGGGAGATAGCTGACGGAAAAAGTGAATGTTTGTGAGCGTTTACACGACTTAAAGGTTGGCGTATTGTTTTAGAATGATTTAGTCGGAATGATTGTTTAAGTGGATCTTGCAGATAATGAGAGCGTGATATGTGGAAATGACCATGATATAATTGGTAAAGGAATTTTAATCGTGACATTATTCTGCGTTGAAAAAGTTGTTTTAAGTTTGCCCTTGCGAGTAAATCTGCGGTACTGGACTGCCTCGCGAATTCTGAATATACGAACCTTACTGCCAATTTTTTGATAGGTCATATCGATTTGTCAAATCGGTCAAATTGATTTTGTTTACTGGACGATGACAGTAGCGTTGAAGTGGAAGCAATATTAAGGACACGTATCAGTGACGAACGTAAGGTGAACTTGAGACGTTATCATGAGGAACACAAAAAAGCCACAGCTGATGGTGCCCTCTAATAGCTTCCCGAGCACTCCCCCATTGTCCTCTATTTGCCTCAGATAGACAAGTACTTGCCAACGCAATGCGGCGACTGGATGATCGGCCTCTTTCTGTGCAGGTGCAATTACAGCAACGTCCACATGCCTCGACAGCCCACAAGGCAGTGAAAGCCCTGCTGTGTTTCCTGAGAAAGACAGGCTTGTGTGAACGCCTCTGACATGCGGTAGAGTTCTACACGCTGCAGTGAAATTACCGTCAGTCTCTCCCCCACCTTTTTTTCTTTTCCCTCTCTTCCCTCTTTGTCGTCTTTCTTGTCCCCTTCCCTAATCCCCCAGTGTAGGGTAGCCAACCGGATGTCTTTCTGGTTAACCTCCCTGCCTTCTCCCTTTTTGTTGCTTCTTCCTTCCTTCCCTCCATAAAACGTACAATGTAGGTATAATGTAATGTCTTGCTTGAAGTATCGATTGATACTATGGCAACGCAGCATGCTTTTTCTATAGCGACCTTTTTGTTTCATATATGACAATGCTTGACCAGTCTTTCTTTAAGAGATAAAAAATAGGGCAATAGTACCCCTTCAAATGTCGTGTTCGCTTCCTGCACATGTTGCCACAGCTATTCGACGAGAGTTTGCTTTAGGACACTCGGGCACAAATACGAAGTGACACACTCGTACCGAATATATGCGACTTTAATGTGCACGTGGAGATGTGATCGCACAGAAATCGAGCTTTCCAGGAAAACTAACCCTGATATATTACTAAAGTGTCGTACTCGTCGGGCTTTGTGGTTCAAGAAGCGCAAGCATAAAACGAGCCCTCGTGCAAGATTTTGTATTGAAATATGAACGAGCGCACCATAGGAGGCTTAAACAAATAGCCACTTAGACAAGATAACGAAGAAACACCGCTCTTTACGCACGTGTAATGTTGTAAGCGACACACCACGGCGTTCTACTGGCTGAGGCACTCGGCTACTGAACCGCAGATGGAATCCCGGCCGCCGC